TGCTGTACCATAAGCTCTCAAGTCTCGATAAGCGACACCCAATTTCGAAGGTTTGTAATAGTCAGGATGCTTTTCAAACAATTTTTTTTGGTTTTTGACCCAAAACTTGGAATCAAAGCTGTCTGAATTTGGATCTAGTCTTTCATCCCCTTCCTCTTCTTCTAATGGACTCACACCAGGCACTTGCGACATGTGAGTCAAATACTTTCTCAACTTTGTTGCTGAATTGGAGTCTTCATTAGTGTATGTTCTTGCTATTTTTTGGACTCTATGTGCATCAAATCCAGAAAATTCGTGAATGGATGGCCCCGAAGATGATGAATTGGTCTGTTGGTTTTCTAATTTATTGATTGAGTCCCCCTTGGACTCATTTTCCAAATTAGACATGGTTTATTTTGATGTTGTATAAAGAGATTTGAAAAAAAAAAGAACACCCTTGAAGAGGAGGACCCAATGCTTTTATATCAATTTTGATTACTTTACCAATCGACTACTTCATTCAGCAAAGCTATAAGTGAGTATAGCCATGATGATTGTGAAAAAAATTGAACTAAAATTCCCTGACACAAAACAAAGATTTTTAAGGAACCACGGAATCGGAGCTTACACCAAAGCTTAACATGGACCGAAAAAAAAAAGAAAAGAATAATCGCTCAAGTGGATACCAAATAACGATAAAGCTCCTTCGGAGGCTTAGCTTAGCAAGTATTGATGCCTCTAAAAACTGAACGTTGCTTCTTCTCGGTGCACAAGAGACATGTGGGACACGCTTTAACTAATATCAATAGTGAGAAATACAATCTGCTTAATTAGAACTCTTAATGTTTTTGCTATGTTTTAGGTTCAGTTGGATGAAAGACAGAATTTTACGAAATAAAGAGATCCAGTATCATCAGGTACAACTTCATATGTTCACAAGCGAAATCTGTAGTCAACTTAAGCAGAATGAACCATTTCGTTGCGAAGTTAAAAGCGAAAAATTTTCTTTCTGGTTCTAGTGTGCGTGAACTAAATCAATAAATGATACAGTAGGTATGCGGCTTGTTTTCGGCATTTTTATTAATCCGAAAATATTTTGTCATCCGTGATTATTTGATCCGAATAGAAACCTTATTGTGTTTGTGTCACCATCGAAGCAAAATAGAAATTTAACTATGATCGACGAAGATAGTTCAGAAGTTCGGGTTTAGCTTAGGAGTTACGAAACTCGGGGATAAAGAGGGAATTCGGGCCTGGTGGTTTCATCAGCAACTATATCACAGGCTATTTATGAGAATTCGTTTTAGCTAGGCTGTCAAACTAAATACTAAATGGCTTTCACTGAATCTGTGCGTAACGGCGAGGAAAACAGTGTTCTACTAAATTAACGCTGTGTAATTATAATGCGTATTGAATTAGAGTGGCGTCAAGAAACGTGTTTTCGTTTATAGGTAGGTGGAAGAGCTGTAAACTAGACACAGTATATGTATATTAAATTATTAAGACACTTACTGATTCCGGTGTAAAGATACTGTTTTTCCAAAAAGGGCTCTGTCTACTTTCCCTCAGAAGCTTTAGGTGAAATTATACTTTATTGTTTTTGACTTCCACAGTAAGATGTATATTATCTCACATAGAAACTTGTATATGTATTGTAACGGACGGCACTTTCCCAACAGTTCATTGGGGAAATATCTGATCCTATGTGTCATGACAAGTGAAAGGGTCGTCTAATTTGTCGACAGTGTGCGAAATTTAACCAATTGTCAACCCTAAAACATCTCGCACCAAAAAGATCAAGACTCATTCATTATAATATAGGCCAAGATTGCCTTACAGACGTGGTTCATGTTCCATTCCCTACATCGAAAACTATCTTTCATTTAACTACGAGCAACGAGGTTTCAATATTGGATCTTTATCCTCAGGATATGCTTTATATATAAACGTTCAATATTTTTTTCTTTTTCGCATTTTTTGGAAAACCTAAGGATCAAAACCTTCTTGTTCTGTCTTTCTTCTTCTCTAATAGTAAAAAAAAATCAAAAATGACAATGAAATAACATTGCAACCCTTCTGGCACACTGCAGCTCCCAATGGTAGTGAGCCAGGACGCCAAAAACAGCTAACAGGCAGCAAATACCTGGACCATTTCTGACTAGGACTACAATTCTGGGCNCTTTCCCCGTCTAAAAAAAATTAAAATACGGACGAGAAAGGCAAAAAAAAAATACCCTCACTATTTTAATTTCATTTCTATAATCTTTAGTTTACATGCAAGAAGGGTTAATGAGTTTTGTTTCTTCTATGACTCTTGTATACACAATTAAGTTGTTCCAGATATCGCACCCATACAAATTTTACTTTTCCGGTTCAAGTTTTGGAAGTAAAGAGGAGCTGGGTGAAGTTGAGTTTACTTAAGAAGATAATGTTACTATAACCTGCTTACTACGTAATTGCCTTATGAGTGCAGTATACTTAATTTACCGTCACAGTGTACTGGTGTGTATGTG